GGTTTAACGTTGGTAACGTTTGGTTACTTATTTCATTAAAAAAAAAGTAAGTTATTTTTTTATTTCCAAGAAAAATGAAAGAACACGTGAGGCTCCGGGTTTTACGTAGTAGTGGGGTTCGGTGAAAACATTGGACTGAAAAGAAGACGAGAAACAAAACCCTAATCATTTCTTACAACTCAAACTCATACTTTCTTCTCAAACAACTGCCTTCATTAATCATTACAATTTACATTTTCACAACATATTACGCACGTGTATATACAGTTGTCCCAATTATACAATATCTTCGTTTTTATCTTATAATTTTATACCAAATTAATCATATATAATCGATTAACAAAATTCTATATGTTCATCAAATGAGTAGTAAATAAGCTTCTAAAATACGTTTTTCCTTTTAAAATAGCTTAATTGGACTTGAATTGTAATTTTTGTTTTTTTTCTCCATTTGAATAATACATATTTGAACATATAGAAGAAAGAAAGAAAGTACATTGATTTGAAATGACCGGATAACAACAACTATGCTGGGAAAACGCATGCATGAGCTTGAAACAGTAAGTAATTAATAACACTATACTCCAGGATTCGGTCATTCTAATTCTATTTTATTTTCTTCTCAATTCTTCTTTGATGTAGAAAATAATAATATGAACAATCTATTATACGAAGAACGAATTCTTCTTTTTTAATTCTATATCGTGCTAAATTAATTTATACATGTTTCAACTGTGAAATAGGTAACTGTCGTTTCAGCTGTTGAGTGAATTTTAGACGTTACTTTTACGTAAGATAAATATTTTCGAGTTTTTCATTTATTTTCCTATATTATTTTTAATTACTTGAATCGCTTATTTATCCCTTCCTAGTTGCTAGTTCATACGAAAGAAACTATTTCTAAAGACTAGAAGTGGATTGTCGAACAATATTAAAAGTTATGGTTTGAGAAATATCTAAAAATACCATTTCACGAAAAATCATTTCGACTGTCACTTAAGAAACTAAACTTTTAATATCAATCGATTAATAATTTGAGATATGGTATAATTAACAACTTATATGTAGAGTGTAGCAGAATTACAGATGAAATGAAATGAAAACCGAAAGAAGAACAAATTTTTGTTTTAAATGTCGTAAATATGTAGACCGTATAATTTTGTTTGTCAACAATAGACCGTATAATTAAGTAAACAAAAATGTGTTATACCAACAGAAAAATCGTTAAAGTAAATGAAATTTAAGTTAGGCTTTATAGATAGTGATAACTGATATGCCTACATTTGCTTTGCCAAACTTGATCAATTAC